CTCCCAGGGGCCAGGCATCTCCCCCAGTCCTGCCTCTGGTTCCTTCTTCATTGATCCCAAATCCTGAAATGCAGTTGTGGGCGGAAAGAAGGCTGGTGGGCAGCTCCTTCGCTTGAGGGCAGGTGCAGTTCGCGGGGCAGGTGGGGTGCGTTTGAAGCCCTCCTCTGTGCTGGGCCCAGTCTCCCGGCTCCCCGGTGAGGGGCCACGGAGGACCCCAGACCAGCCTCCTCACAGCAGGGCCACATCCCAGCACTCCACAGTGAGGGAAATGCGGCTTCCCACCCGAGCCGGATGGCGCACGACGCCTCCGCCTGTTTCTCGAAAGCCCTCCTTTCTGGGTGATCCCCCTCCCTCGGCCAAGTTAACTAACAGTGTGCCCTGAAATGACGGCTGGAGAACGTGGATGAACGAACACAAGGAAATGGCGGCGTGCTTGGCGTGGCTATAAATAACCTGGGTGGACTGGAAGGTGGAGGCCAAGATGCTGTAGTTTCCTCCTTATCAGACTCCTTTCCCTGTTGCTATGGGAACTGGCCTAGGGATGCCGGGAGTTCTGTGAGTCGGTCCAGGCCTCAGTCGTTCATGTTTACATGGTGGGTGGGCGTGGGGAGTGTCTGTGAGGGTTCTGGGTGAGCCAGATGCAGCCCAACTGTGCCCGGGGGTCTCAGCAGATGGCCGGTAAACTGAGTCATGGGCCAGCATGCTCAGTGGTTTGAGGGAGGCTTCTCAGAGGAGGGGATGTCTGGACTGCACATCCTGATCTTGGACCAGGAGTGAAAGGCGTGGAAGGGCGTTCCAGCCAGAGGGGACAGCGTGGTGGACGTGTGGAGGAGAAAGGGCGTGGACGGTGTGGCGTGTTCCAGGATGTCCAGTGTGTCCAGAGCAAGTAGGAGATGAGTGGGCGAGAGGAAGTCCTAGGTTATCAGAGTCTGGGCCACAGGCATCTGCCATGTGGAACCAGTCACCCGATGGATTTCTCATGGGGCCCAGGACAGCATATGTGGCCTGGAAGAGCTGTGCCCATGGGCCGGCCTCTGAGATGGTGTCTCGGGTCTCGGGAGGTGTTTGAACAAGATGACGAGCTAAGACAATTTCTTGGGGACGCACACCTCCAGGAGGGCTTGCCCTGAGCTGGACCAAACCTCCTGGGTTTGCTTAGCCCCACCACCTTAGGTCTCATGTAGCCCAGGTTGGCCTCAACCTCTCTGTACAGCCAAGGATGACTCTGAAGTCCTGATCCTCTTGCTTCTACCCCTGCTGGGGGCCCCAGATCCTCCCCTTCATTGCTGGTTTATGTGGTGCTGCCTTGATTGATAAGCCCTTTCCCGACCTCTCTTGAGGAAACAGAGCCTCGGAGGAGACCCCCAGCTATGGGTCAGGCCTAGGGCCACAAAGCTCCGTCCAGGGAAGAAGACTGGATTTGCTCAGGCTTCATGACCCTTCCACTTTGTGTGGACCCGGGGATTCATCTCCAGGCTGTTAGGTGGAAGGGGGGTGCGGTGGGCATTGTGACCATTGGCAGCGTTGGCAGCGCCCAGCTTCTCAGGGAGCCCTAGGAACTCGGAGTCTCACAGAGAGTGGTGACCATAGTCATGAAAAGGACTTGGGGGGCAGATGGGGCTCTTGGGGGGTCTGATGTGGTGTGTGACTTCTGACTCGCACCCTGAAAGGGAAAGAGGCAGTGAAGGTGTTGGAGCCGGCCGGAGGGGCCTGGAATCAAGTCCCAAGTCCTGGCCCTGGAGCTCGCTCTCCTCACGGTACTGCCCTGCTGTGAAGCGAGGGAGGGTGGCCGTGACGGACTCACCCGCTCGCCCAATGGTGAAATGAGGTGAGAGGTGTGGGCAGCTCCCAGCTTGGGAACACCTTTGGGTAATGGTTTTATTACTGC